CGATACAGGTCTCTCCCCAATGGGCGAGGAGGACGAACGGGGAGACGATGGCCGCGTGATACGTCGCGGTCGAGCTCCCCGCCCCTCACCAGACCGTGCGCGAGCCCGCTCTAGCGGTGCTCGTTCGAGCGGTGGTCAGCGCCCTCATCCTCCTGCTGCGGGGGCCACGAGGGGCCCGCCACGGCAGGCGACATGAGCGCACGCGCCCCCGTGGAAGGGCCGTCTGCGGGGAAACCCGCCTCATGATGACCAACATCGTGGAGGAGAATATCCAGGAGGTGAAGTGCAGCGTTTGAGAGGCCACACTGAAGCTGGACTGGCTCGTCAGCACATGCCCGCAAACCAGATGGAATACTGGTTGGAAAGGGGTTGGGCCGAGCGTCGCATCTGGCACTGGTATTCTCTTCGTCAGTGCAAACGAGATGATGCAGGTATTATCATTCGTTCAGAGGCGGGGCAAACCGAATCGCAGGAAAAGATGGTCAAGCGCGATCTCAAAAGGGCCACCATCGAGGATCGAAAGCTCTTCAGAGGCGTTTGCTGCACATGCCCCAGTTATGCTGATCACTGGCTCGGCTGCCCCATGAGACGCCCATCAAGAAGTCCGAATTTCAAAAGGACACCGTGGGTTTGGTCTCATGGGGATGGTCGGTCTCGCTGTGCTGACCTCAGCAATGCGCCATATCTTGAGCGGCTGACGGAAAACGATTCGGACCCCGCCACTCGTGGAGAGATAGCTCAGACAGATGCCATTTGGCAGAACTTGATACCTACTCACCCTTTGGCGCAGTTCAATCGCGAGCGGCACGCGGGGGGGGCCGGCTGATCCTAAATCAGATGGTGAAGGCCAAGAAAAAGCTGGTGAATATGAAGATGATGAAATGGCTGAAGAAGTTGATCCTGTGAACGACACGCGCGACGCGGATGCTCCGATCGACCCCCGAGGGCGCTGCCACAAGAGATATGGATCTATCTCCTGGGAGGCAGATTGTTTACCGTGCTCAGTTTATTGGTTGGATGCAGACACGCATCGTCGGACGACGGAACGCCGATAAGTACTTAGTTGCGCAGAAAAACAATGCACCTATTAAGAAAATGGTCCCCAGGAAGCCAGGTGGCATCGATCTGAATCCTGACCGAGGTCCTATGCGATTTGCACTTGGGACGCCGGCAGGAGCTACGGCAAGGGCAGCTCCCACGCCGAAGCCAGGGATGATCGATCTTCCTTCGTCTTCTGATTCATCATGCCAATCTCTTGGCCCTGGCCATCTTCAGCTCAAGGGAAAGAAGAGGGGGGGCCCAGATGATCCCAAACCTGGGGTCAGCAAGCAGCAGCGACATGCGGGGCAACCTGCTGATCGACAGTATTCCAGAGGGCCAGCAGCGGCCGCCGCAGCAGCTAGAATTCAGGGCACCAGTACGCCTACTCCAAAAGAGCTTGTGCCACGTCGCGGCCCTGCACCACGTCGGACGCACGGGGCAGGATGGGCGCCTGCGCTGGAAGGGAGGACAAGGGGCGCTTCCTCCACGCAACGCACTGAGAAGCTCCTTGCTACCACGCCAAAGGTGCCAGGAGCAGTGCCCAGAGATAAGACTGCCGAGTCCTACAACATCAAGGAGAAGAAGCACCAGGACTTCGATATCAGTACCCCGCAAGGAACACCAAGGACGCCCAGAGGATCTGTGGGCGCTACCGCATCGGCAGCGAGCGCAGCAGCGCTTGCCGCGCCAATGGCTGCCCCACGCTCTGCGGGGCAACCTGCTCAGATTTCTGCGGGGCAACCTGCTCAGAGTTCAGCGGGGCAACCTGCCCCCTGCGTTGGAGGTACCACCGGAATGTGAGGAGTTCTGGGACAGGATGCGCACTTCCCACCGCACGAAGATCAATCCAGCGTATCACCCGCGGATTGACGATGGATCTGATCGATGCATGGTGGTGCAGTGCGTCGTCATGGACATTTGTGTCCATGCTGACCAAGGTGCACACACGCGCCAAACAGTGCGCAACATCCCGCAGAAACGCCCAGCGTTCGACGAAACAAAATATCTATCCGAAAAGTAATCAAAACATCGTCCAAAGATAGTCGAGGGATTATTTTTGGAGTATGTTTTGATCATTTTGGGGCATTTTTGTACATTTTCATTTTTCGCCCAAAATCCCCCTGTAGGGGGACAGGCCCGACTTAAGCGAAAGTCTCAGTTCCCCGACTTCTGCAGGGGCCAGGGCGGAAGTGCGCCTCGCAATTTTCGGCGCCTGTCGGTATCGGTTGACCGACCCCCCTCCCCATCGCCCCCCCCCTTCGTGACCCCCGCCAGATCGCCGCCCCACATTGGGGATACGCCCTTCGGAAGCCGAAGGGAACGGCCTATGTCCCCATCCAGGGGGGGGGAATCGGCCAGTGGGGCCAAGGCCACGCCGCTGGGGATGGGGATCGGTTAAACGATACTCGATCCGGGTACTGCCCTCGGGCTCCGAGGCTAACGCAAAAGCGACCCGGGGCGAAACGCCGCCCCCCGAAAAGACGTCGAGGGGGTGCGGGGTTCGCATCTCGGGGGCCGTTCGGGCCCCCTTCTGGGCTCTCTTGGCGCCCTCCTTGCGGCCTGGCATGACTCTCTTGTGACCGGGTTGGCAAACATCGATCAAAAAAGGAAAGGTCCTGCAGGGTCCGGCTTGATTAAGGAAGGCGTGCTTTTCGAAAAGGGGCTCGATCGTACCTCTGGTTTGCATGCGTTCTGCTACCTTTTTGGCGGCGGCCCCCCTTGGTGTTTCTTCGGACTCCGTAGAGTTACTTTGAACAAAAGCGGCCTCGTTCCTTATTTATCGTTCCTTAGGTGAGGCCGAATCCTGTAGTTAACGCTGCCCCCCTGGAGCGCAAACATCCCCGCGTGGAGCGGGGGAGAATGAAGACAAAGAGGCGAATGCCTCGCAGGGGCTCTGTTGGGGTTTCCTGGGGACCTGTTGGGGGCCTGTGGAGGGGCCGCGCGGAGGCCCACGCGGGCCCTCGTAGGGGGCCTCTTGGGGGCCTCCAGGGCAGTCTTCGGGGGGCTGCTGGCCCGCGTGACGCCGTCGGATGCCGCCTTGGGGGCCCCGCTGTGCTGTGCTGCCCTCTTGGCACGCATTAGGTGGGACGCACAGAGACATACTGATTCGATATGTCCTCCTTGGAGGCGCGCGTCCGACCCGAATATATATATATGTATATATATATATATATATATATATATATATAATGCCCATCTTGTAGAATACCGTTTCGCGAGCGGTGCGGCCAGAAAATGCCCGCCACGACGCATACACGCAGCACCCCGCAGTTGCGGATAAGAGTGAGGGGCAGCGGGGACGTCGGCAGTATGCGAGGCTTTGCAGAAGCCTGCCGCAGGCGCAATATTTTCAAAGCTATACAACGAGCCCGCCTCATGCGCCGATTTTTTGTTAAAAGCATTGCCGTTTTTTTGTTATCCCCCTCTTGGCGTTTTTTTTTCTCCCCTTTCTCCCCCCCCAAAGAGGCGCCACAGGAGGAATGTGCACAACTGCCGTCCACGAGGGGGGGGGAGGGAGTTCCGTCCCTTCTCCGCCGCCTCCTCCTGTCCTTTACTCCCTCCCCTTCTCTGTCTCAGTACTCCCCTCGTCGTCCCCTCCCTCGCCTCTCCTCTCCTCGTCGCTCCCTCCTCCTTCGCCTTTCCCCTTCCTTTCCGCGCCCCCGCAAAAACACCACCCCAGAATCACCCGTACTGGCCACTTGAGGTTTCTTGGGCCGTCTTAGGGGTTTCTTGGCCTTTCCTCTGACGCCTTCGGATACCGTCTTGGTTGGGGGCATGTCTGGCCCTCTTGGCGCCCTCTTGGGGACCTTTACGACCCTCTCGGTAGACTCCCGCGCGATCTTTGGGCCCTCTGGGGCCGATTCGGGGCCTTGTTGGGGTGCGTCCTGGGCTATATTGGAGCTATCTTGAGAGCCTCTTGGATGCCTCTTGGGCCGTCTTGGGCGGTCGAATCTCCAGACAGGCGAGAGCCTCAACATCTATCAATGTCCGGGCGAAGGTCAACCCTATGCACTTGTGGGTGCCGCGTTGTGGCACCGCTTTCGGTGGAGCTCCCTATGAGGCCACGAGGCGTGCTAGGAGTGTGCCGAAATGGGCGGGGAACCGCATGCGAACCCGCCACTGATGCAAACGTTGGAGCTCCCTATGGGGCCACGAAGTGTGTGAGGGGTGTGCCGGTATGGGCGGGAAACTTCATGATAACTTTGCCACTGGGCTTTCGGTGGGGCTCCCTACGGGGCCGCGAAGTGTGTGGGGTGTGTGCCGACATGGGCGGGGAACCGCGTGCGAACTTTGCCACTGAGGTCGTCGGTGAGGGGTGTGCCGAAGTGGGCGGGGAACCGCATGCGAGCTTTGCCACTGGGGCCTTCAGTAGCCCCCCGTGGGGCCTCGGGACGTGTGGGGGTGTACTGAAATGTGCTGGGAACCGCATGCGATCTGTGCCACGGGTGCCTTCGGTGGGGCTCCCTATGGGGCCACGAAGCGTGTGAGGGGTGTGCCGAAACAGTGGCGCGCGGAGGGGAAAGGCAGGGGATCGGAGGAGGGAGGGCGAGGAGGAGGAAGGAGGAGAGGGGACCGGGGGCGGTGTCTCTTCAAAACGAAGACCCAGCACCACATGATGGTCGGGAAACAACTTCGTAGACAACAGGCGAGCATTCTAACGCCCACTCCGTGCAGGCACGGTGGCGGATACTCAACACAGGACCCTCAATGATCTGGGGACCCAACAGAGCCCAACAAGCTGGGCCATCATGGGGCGCCCGCAATAAGGTCCCTCCCCATTGCGCACCAGGGCAAGAACCAGACATCCCAACAAACTTGACCATCTTAAGGCACGCTGGACCCCCGTTGGCCACATCGCGCCGCGGGCTTCCTGGGGTTGGCCAGAATCGTCCGTTCTGGCGTCATTTGGCTGGGGGGGAAGAGAGGATGACGTCGACGACGTGGAGGCTCATCCGCAGCGACCAGCTCAAGTTTTCGTCCCGATTTACCCGCTCTGTTCCGCACGTCGCTTCCGCGAGCCTCCTCTGGCCTTCCTGCGATCGGCCATGGCGTTCGGCAGCTCCCTCCGATTGCTCCTGCTGCAGATCCCGCTGAGCCTGGGCTTCAACAGGACGGCGCCCAAGAGGCAGCTTCGGGGCCTCCTCTCCGACACGATCTACTGCAACCCTTACCTGCAGCAGATGTGCCCCCCAGGTGACGTGGCGTGCCCGCAGTGTGGTTCGGACAGGTGCGAGTGCCCCGGCAGCCCAGGTCCGAGCCCCAGCCCAGACACCAAGTGCAGCTGGGAGGAGCACGTGAACAGCGACGGCAACAATTTGCTGCAAGCTCCCTGGTCCCAGGACCCGCAGGCGTGCTGCAACCACTGCGGCGAGCAGTCGGGGTGCGTGGCGTGGACCTTCATTCAGGGCAGCCACGAGTGCTGGTTGAAGAGCTGGGTGCCGTCTAGGGACCAGTGGCGCTGGGACGACTCGGCCATCAGCGGCCAAATCGGGGCGCCGAGCCTCCAGGCGGCCCTTGATGCGCCAAGCAACAGTTCGCTCCAGGGCCTCCTCTCCGAGACGATCTACTGCAACCCCTACCTGCAGCAGATGTGCCCCCCAGGCGACGTGGCGTGCCCGCAGTGTGGTTCGGACAGGTGCGAGTGCCCCGGCAGTCCAGGTCCGAGCCCCAGCCCAGACACCAAGTGCAGCTGGGAGGAGCACGTGAACAGCGACGGCAGCAATTTGCTGCAAGCTCCCTGGTCCCAGGACCCGCAGGCGTGCTGCAACCACTGCGGCGAGCAGTCGGGGTGCGTGGCGTGGACCTTCATTCAGGGCAGCCACGAGTGCTGGTTGAAGAGCTGGGTGCCGTCTAGGGACCAGTGGCGCTGGGACGACTCGGCCATCAGCGGCCAAATCGGGGCGCCGAGCCTCCAGGCGGCCGTTGATGCGGCAAGCAACAATTCGCTCCAGGGCCTCCTCTCCGAGACGATCTACTGCAACCCCTACCTGCAGCAGATGTGCCCCCCAGGTGACGTGGCGTGCCCGCAGTGTGGTTCGGACAGGTGCGAGTGCCCCGGCAGCCCAGGTCCGAGCCCCAGCCCAGACACCAAGTGCAGCTGGGAGGAGCACGTGAACAGCGACGGCAACAATTTGCTGCAAGCTCCCTGGTCCCAGGACCCGCAGGCGTGCTGCAACCACTGCGGCGAGCAGTCGGGGTGCGTGGCGTGGACCTTCATTCAGGGCAGCCACGAGTGCTGGTTGAAGAGCTGGGTGCCGTCTAGGGACCAGTGGCGCTGGGACGACTCGGCCATCAGCGGCCAAATCGGGGCGCCGAGCCTCCAGGCGGCCGTTGATGCGCCAAACAACATTTCGCTCCAGGGCCTCCTCTCCGAGACGATCTACTGCAACCCCTACCTGCAGCAGATGTGCCCCCCAGGCGACGTGGCGTGCCCGCAGTGTGGTTCGGACAGGTGCGAGTGCCCCGGCAGTCCAGGTCCGAGCCCCAGCCCAGACACCAAGTGCAGCTGGGAGGAGCACGTGAACAGCGACGGCAACAATTTGATGCAAGCTCCCTGGTCCCAGGACCCGCAGGCGTGCTGCAACCACTGCGGCGAGCAGTCGGGGTGCGTGGCGTGGACCTTCATTCAGGGCAGCCACGAGTGCTGGTTGAAGAGCTGGGTGCCGTCTAGGGATCAGTGGCGCTGGGACGACTCGGCCATCAGCGGCCAAATCGGGGCGCCGAGCCTCCAGGCGGCCCTTGATGCGCCAAGCAACAGTTCGCTCCAGGGCCTCCTCTCCGAGACGATCTACTGCAACCCCTACCTGCAGCAGATGTGCCCCCCAGGCGACGTGGCGTGCCCGCAGTGTGGTTCGGACAGGTGCGAGTGCCCCGGCAGTCCAGGTCCGAGCCCCAGCCCAGACACCAAGTGCAGCTGGGAGGAGCACGTGAACAGCGACGGCAACAATTTGCTGCAAGCTCCCTGGTCCCAGGACCCGCAGGCGTGCTGCAACCACTGCGGCGGGCAGTCGGGATGCGCGGCGTGGACCTTCATTCAGGGCAGCCACGAGTGCTGGTTGAAGAGCTGGGTGCCGTCTAGGGATCAGTGGCGCTGGGACGACTCGGCCATCAGCGGCCAAATCGGGGCGCCGAGCCTCCAGGCGGCCCTTGATGCGCCAAGCAACAGCTCGCTCCAGGGCCTCCTCTCCGAGACGATCTACTGCAACCCCTACCTGCAGCAGATGTGCCCCCCAGGCGACGTGGCGTGCCCGCAGTGTGGTTCGGACAGGTGCGAGTGCCCCAGCAGCCCAAGTCCGAGCCCCAGCCCAGACACCAAGTGCAGCTGGGAGGAGCACAGGAACAGCGACGGCAACAATTTGCTGCAAGCTCCCTGGTCCCAGGACCCGCAGGCGTGCTGCAACCACTGCGGCGGGCAGTCGGGGTGCGCGGCGTGGACCTTCATTCAGGGCAGCCACGAGTGCTGGTTGAAGAGCTGGGTGCCGTCTAGGGACCAGTGGCGCTGGGACGACTCGGCCATCAGCGGCATACTGGGAGGTCGGTGAGCTTCTGCAGTTTGGGTGTGGCTTGCGCACGCACAATACTGCAACCGTGCTGGTTCATCTGGTCCGACACCGTCTGTTGGCGTGCCAGGCTTTTCAGTGCCAATAGAGCGCTGGAAGTACAGTGTGCATGGTTGAGGAGGCGCTCCGCCGTCTGCGCCCCCCCTCGTTGAAAGTTCCGGTTGCCTTTGGCAAGTCTTGCCATTTCGCGCCACGTCGCGTTGACATTGCCATCATCCCATCCAGGACCTATGTTCAGGTTTGTGGAGAGACTTCAAGTTGATGACCACATGGAGGAGCGAAGGGGTCAACAATCGTCAATTGACGCGTCGCGTATCCCCATTCGCCCAGACAGCAGCGATGTCCAGGCGAGTCGCCTTGACCAGGGAGGCGTAGAAGCATGCAGTGCAAGAAAGAAGGAGAAGAAACCATCAAAACGAATTTTTGGATCAGCCTGAGCATACCCATGAGTGCACCTAATATGTGTTCGCGGGCCTGTCGAACGAGGGGAAGCTGGGGGACAAGGATAAGGATAACAATACTAATAATCATGATGATGATGATGATGATGATGATGATGATGATGATGATGATGATGATGATGCTGATGCTGATGCTGATGCTGATGCTGGTGCTGATGCTGATGATACTGATGATGACGATGCAGATTCCAATGATACTGCTGCTAATGATGATGCTGATAGTGAGTATGATGATGAAGATGGCAATGGCGATGGCAATGGCGATGGCGATGGTGATGATGATGCTGATTTTGACGGTGATGATGATGATGACGACAACGATGATGATGACGATGATGGTAAACATGATGACTAGGACGAGGATGATGAGAATGATGATGATGATGATGATGATGATGATGATGATGATGATGATGGGGAAGGCGATTGTTCGGATGATGAGGACGATGATCATGATGATGCTGATGCTGTTGTTGCTTCTCATGATGATGCTGCTGATTGATGATGGTGATGCTGATGCTGCTGATGATGCTGATGATGGTATCGTCCACGATGGTGCTGAAGATGCTGCTGCAGATGATGTTGATCATGATGACGACGGCGATGGTGATGATGATGGCGATGCTGATCATGATGATGGCTATGGCTATGTTGATGATGCGGATTATGGTAAAGACGGTGACGGTGATGATGAGGTTTCTGATGATGCTGATGATGGTGTTGGTGACCCTGATGAGGATGATGATGGTGATCATGACGATAATGGTGTTAAGGAAGAGGAAGAGGAAGAGGAAGATAATACGAAACGCGGATGAGAAGGATGAACAAGAGGAACCAGGATGGAAAAAGGATCAGGAGGATGAGGAGGACGAGCGGACGGAATATGAGTTTGACATAAAACGCCCCCCACTGAATTTATTTTGACTCTTAGGTGGGAGGAGGAGGAGGAGGAGGAGGATGAGGAGGAGGAGAGAAACACGAGGAGGAGGAGGAGAAACCTGTTGGAGGAGGAGGAGGAAAAAGGAGGAGAAGGAGGGGGAGTTTGAAGACGAGGATCCGAGAGGAAAAAGGCGACGGCGACGACAACGACGATTCAACCAGAAAAGGCCTTCGCTGATGCAGACCTGTCGTCCTGTTAGCCTCTTGGAGCCCTCTTGGGGCCCTCTGTGGGCTATTTCGAGGTCCGTTGAGGCCATCTTGTGGCTCTCTTGGGGCCGTCTTGGGACCAGCTTGGAAACCATCGATCAAAAAAGGAAAGGTCCTTGTGAACCCTGCCCCCCTGGAGCGCCAACATATCCGCGTGAAGCGGGAGAACATGAAGACATGGAGGAGAAGGCCTCTCAGGGGCTCTCTGGGGGTTTCCCGGGGACCTGCTACGGGCTTCCTTGGGCCTTTTGAGGGCCTGTTTTAGGGGGGCTCTTGGCGCGTGTGACGCCGTCGGAGGCCGTCTTGGGGGCCTCTCTGGGCCCTCTTGATGCCCTCTTGGGGCGCTTTAAGGCCGTCTTGGGGCCCTCATGCGAGACTCTTGGGCGATCTTGGGGTCCTGTTGGGCCGACTTGGGGCCCTCTTTGGGGGCTTCATGGGCTGTTTTGGAGGTATATTGGAGGCATCTTGGGCCGGCTTGGATGGTCGGAAACCCAGAGGCGAGAATGTCATCATCATTGAACAATCGAACGGCAATCAATGCTTGTTGCCTCCTCGGGGGCCTCTTGGAGCCTCTGGGGGACGACGTTTTGGGGGAGTATTTTGGGGCCTCTGGCGTCAGGGCCACCGCACGCGCACCGCCGTCGACGAAGACAAAGAAAAAACGCAAGGGACAGGCAAAGGGGGGAGGAGGACCAGGAGGCCTAAAGGGCACCATAGGACATCGGACGCGGCGGTGGCGGACTCGAAAGCGAGCTGAGGGACGTAAGGAGTGGAAGCGAGCGTGCGCCCGCGGCCGCGTCGGCTCAAGCGGCCGGCCGCCCAAATTTGACTGTGCTTCACCGCGAGGCACACAATCGTTATTGAGACCAAAAGGATCTTCCTATTGCTTGAGATGGCATCTCCTCTCATACTGGGACTATCGTTACTACGGTACAACAGAGCAGGAGTTTGGCTTCGCCTGAGGCGAAGCTGTTGGCTGGGCCTTCCAGCCCCCTTCAAGCTTGGAATCGGAGCTGGCCTATGGTGGTCAGCTCGGACTCTAGTCCTCACCATCCACGGCGCTATCTGGTGGACTACGGATATGGTGGAACATTAGGGTGCAGTGGGATTGCGCGGAGGAGTGTACATAACTACGCAGTACCGCAAGGAAAGTTGCAGCGATACCTCTGTCCCAGCGGAGGTCCCTTACTCACATCTTATATCCCTGCGCTATTTCACTCCTGAAGTCCACCCACCTACTCCGATTGGAAATTTCTTCGAAGATATACTGCATGGAAACATGCGATACGATATACTTGCCGCGTCCGAACCCACGCAGACTTACGACTACAAAGCATAAGTCTCCACCGACTACACCCGACTACGACCAACGAGGCCACTGGATTGGGGTTACTATTTTGGGGCTCATATGTTTTGCAATTTGGTGTGCGGTAGGACATGCGGGGCGGAGACGACACTAAAACGACTGGCCGCCATTGAGACCCTGCCGGTCAAGTACCATTTCGCGAGTTCGTCCGCGAAGTACATGCCTGGATCAATGTGACCACAGGCAAAATGACGCCCTCCCAGCAGGCCGCCGCATTGCAGCGCGATTTGGGAGGTCTCGCGCGGACCATAGCCATGAGCGCCCCCCCAACAGTCATTAATTTTGGCGTCAATCTAGGCGGTCGCCGCACTGACGGCGTCACCTACATTATGTTCCTCTTAAGTACGAAGTCCGAGAACCTAGAAGTGGAACGCCAACTCAACTCTGGCACGGCTCTCATTGACTTTCAAGTCCATGCGGTTTACGTACCGACCAGACGTTAGCACGGCTCGCAATAGCCCGCTTCGAAGCTGAAACTGCTGGCCTCAACATCCCCAACTTCCAAATTTTAACATGTATTCTATTCAGAGCTCTTGGAGTGGGGACGTCGCGTGCGCAGCGACTCCTGCAGTTTCTGAGCCACTGCGCGCCGAGGGACCAACCGCAATTTGACGCTCTACTTGAACGTATGAGGTCATATGCTCACATAGCTGAGAGGACCCCTGGCAATATTGGCGGTATCTTTAGCCGCGGTCACCGAACCGAGACTTTCCACGCAGAGGCCAACGCAGGGCAACCTGCCAACAACGTCTGGAATGACGATACACAGCCAACTCAGACCACTACACTGTTGGCTCAGAATGGTGGAACGGCTCCGGGGTCGCAAGTCCCCTGAGCCAGATCTGGGGGGCCGCTCGACTCGGCTTCTCCTATGCAAGCTATGACTCTAATGGGCTCAGCGGGGCGACCCGCCGAGTCCGACTGCGACTCCGGTGCCGATGCGGATGCGTCTTCCGGTGATGAAGTTACCGCCTGGGATTGCTCTGATATGCCTACATGCCTTACGGAAGAGCAGCAAACCCAATGTTTATTTTTGGGCTATAAAAAACACAAGCGTCGTTGGCGGAGGTTCATGAAGAAACCAGTCCGACAGGGTAAGACGTATTGTACGACGGTCACTTAAAGGAAAAGGCAAGGGTCGAAGTGAAGGTAAAGGTAAGCGTCGGCGACTACATGGTCGAGGCGCACTAGCATTCCTAGCGTCTCTCATTGGACCTCAGCATGAGGAAATGTTTTTAGGTGCTGGCAGAGACCGTAGGCATGCATCGGGCAAAGGTAAAGGACGACGAGGAAACCCAAATGATGCCAACGTTAAAACCATGGAGTGCGACATCTGTCACAGCGCACAACATTTCCGACTCGAGCGCCCCCAAGGTGATGGAATAGGCAGGGGTCCGTCAGTGCATCTGGCTCAACCGGACTCCGGCATACCGTAGGTTGATTGGGAGTCGCTTCTAGCCGACCTTGCCGACCGCTCAGCCATGCTTGTTCATTTCATGTCTGCCAGGTATCTAAGTGCCAGCATGACCCTCGAGAAATACGCCGATGAGCTGGTCGAGGATGTGTTCATTGGACACGGCGACATCGACTTGGCAGAGTGGCTGGGTGTACCCATCGCGGGGCAGCCTGCAGATATTGAGTTTGTCGAGGACTTCCAGATTCCCGCGAAGGTGATTTTGGCGTGGCGGGGACACCCGTGGACTCATATTCTACCATTGTTTCGACAGATGAGGAAATCCATGCAATGCTTTATCATCGGGCAATTGGAAATCCGACAAACGCGGAATTAATCGATGATGATCCACTGCGGGGAAGCCCGCGCGACGCTGGTGATCTGTCTGAGCGTGTTCAATGTGAGCTTGGGCATCATGAAGAATGTCAGTGTACTTCTGTTGCGCCAGATCGGCCCGCCAGTAGCCAGAGATGATCGCCGCG